GTCTTATTACCAGCACCCTCCTGAATCTTGGCTCTTTCCTCCACCTGGTCCTCTAGTCCTTGGGCATGTGGCGTTCTTGCCCCCTGCTCTGTCTCCCTCTGTGTTTGTCCGATGTTGAGCTTGCACAGAAGTAAGACCCTGCTTCTGTCTATGACAAAGGAGGAAATGGAATCCCGTCATGTTTACTCATACAGGTTTCAGTTGTGGGTGACGTAGTCTAACAGAAACACTAGAGATTGTGTTCTAAATTCATTTTATCATTAATTTGACCCTGGGCAAATAGTGAGCCTTTCTAGCCTTCCATTTTCCTATATTTAACATGTAGAAAATAATGTCAGATATAGCACATTTGATCATCATGACCAGGATGAAAATGATCAAAAATGACATAATAAACATGAGAGTAAAATGAAAATTCTATGAAAGTTTGATCTAGAATGATCTAACAGGTAATTCATGGCAAAGCAATCTTGGAAAGTAAATTTTTTTTTTAATGAGTCAGCCACTGAAACATGCCCCACCCCCTAAAGACACACGGCAGTGTTTCCTGTTTAGGTGTGTGGTTCCTCTAGCCTCCTCGAGGGAAAGGACTATTTTAGTTTTGTATCCTTACATCCTCCCATAGCATATACCTATGGTAGAGAAAAAAGATTAAACAAATGTTTTGATTTGAAAGAAATGGAGATGATGTCTGTATCTGAGCTGTGAAGGAGGTGAAGGGACAGGACATTGTCACACCCAGATATCTGGCCTGGGTGTGGTGGTGACATTCACTGGCATAAGGAACCACAGAAGAGGAATACCTTCAGGGAAGATAAGGAAAACATCATCCATCTGGTTGTGGTAATGTTGGGTTTAAGCTACCTATGGCCATCCACATTGAAATGTCCAATGGGAAGTTGGAGACTAGGTCTGGAGCTCAGAAAATAAATGTAGATTTGAGAGTCATCAGTAAAGTCATGAATGAACCTTGCAAAAGAATATATAGAGAGATTATTGACAGTATACAGTCGGGACAGTATTTGATACCCCTGCTGACTCCCTCTTCCTTGAAAATCTCCCCACCTTGGCTTCTAGTAGACCACCCTCCCTTGTTTCTCTCCTAAATCTCTGGGCATAGCTTTGCAGGTTTCTCTCTTTCATCCAGTCCATGACTTCAGAGTACCCTGGGGCTCAGTCCTTGGCTCTGTCTTGTGGTGATAGATCATCTAGGCTGACTGCTTTAAAGATCATTTCTATCTGATGACTTGCGAAGTTGGATCATGAGTCCAGACTTTTCTTTAGTATTTCAGACTGATAGCTAACTGACTCTTTTATGTCTCCACTTGGATGTTAAATAGGCATCTCAAACTTCATATCCCTACAGCCTAGTTCCTGAACTCCACCCCGCAAGACCTGCTCCTACCACAGTGTTTCCCAGGTAGGCTGAAGTCATCTCCATCCTTCCACCTGCCTGGGCACAAACCCTTGGAGTTATCCTTGATCAGCCTTTCTCCCACATTATTCTCATTTGTTCCATCAGCAAATCCTATTGACTCTACTTTCAAAACCCAAGCTCTGGCTACTTCTCACCATGTCTGTTGTTATTCTCCCAGTCAAGTACCACCATCTCCCTCCTGAATTAACCCTTTCCTGGTATCCCTGCTCCCACCCTGTCCCTCTGTCTTTAACCAGCAGCCATAGTAAATTAAAAAAAAAAAATCAGATCATGTCACTCCTCTGCTCAAAAACCTGTAATGGCTTTATATCTCACATAGAGCAGAAATGCCCAAATCCTCAACATAGCCTGTGAGGCACTCTTGATGCCTCTCTGACCTCATGATCTACCCCTTCTTTGACCAACTGTAGCAACTCAAAATCCCAGGCAACATTCCACCCCAGGGCCTTTGCATTGGCTTTTTTCTTTCTGGAACATTCTTTCCCTACTTATCCATGATTCTCTCCCATAACTCAAACTTGACTTGTGGAGGCCTTCCCTGATCACCCTATTAAAAACTGCAACTCTGCATCTCCAACACATTTTACTCCCTTTCCCTGCTTTTATTTATCTCCATAGCGATTACTATCTTACATGTCATATATTTTACTCATTATTATTATTTTTTTACTTCTGTCTCCTCCTGTTGGAATATAAGCTTTATGAGGGCAGGAATGGGATTTTTTTTCACTGATGTATCCCTAAAACTTACAATAATGCCTGGCATATTATTGGATCTCAAACAAATATTTGTTGATATGAAGTGAAGCATAAGGAAGAATATAAGGAGATTCCTGAGAAGTAGTAACATTTCAGGGACATTTGAATCACCATTGAAGTAAATACTTAAAAAAATTATTATGAATTATATTTCTATTTAAGTTATATATTGTCCTTGCATTCAGCCTGATTTCTTTTGGGCTAGCCCAATTACTTTTATCAAATAGCTTTATCAAAGTATTATTGACCTAAGTGTAAGTATTGACATGTGTATCTATGAAGTGAAACCATCACCACAATCAAAATAATGTAGGTATCCATTCAAAAGTTTTCTCATTATCTCTTGTAATCCCTCCCTCCTGCCCATCCTCACACCCTCAAGCCCTCCTCTTCTAACCCAGTCTCTAGACAACCACTAATATGTTTTCTGTCACTAATATGCTCTCTGCAATCTATAGATTAGATTGCATTTCTAGAATTTTATAAGATGGAATCACGCAGTATATACTCTTCTTTTTCTGCCTTATTTCACTCAGCATAATTATTTTGAGATCCTTCCATGTTGTAGCACATATTCATAGTTCATTCGTTTGTTTGCTAAGTAATAATAATCCATTGTGTGGATAGACAATGTTCTGTTAATTATTGATGGACATCTGGGTTGTTTTCAAATAGAGCTGCTATGAACATTCACGTAGCCCAGTTTCTTTGTTTCTGAGATTTGGGGTTCAGGATAATAGAGCCTCACTTCATTGAGTGCTAAACAAAACTCAGATTGGCTCAAAAAACTTCACTGGGAGCGAGTGTCAGGCTTTAAGAGGTTAATGTGATTTGGCCACGTCGATGGCAGATGTGCCGCTGACAGCTTGCCTTGGCTTCAGCTTGCATTATGCTTCCTGACTAAGTGAATCATGTGAGGAGTCTTAGACATCTCAGAGGTAGCTGTATTTACGGATTTACACAGTAGCTGATTTACGGATCCCTTGAAAGACAGACTCAGCCTCCTAATAGGGAGGACGTGATGTGACAGGATGACACTGCTAATGTTCCCTGGGTGCTGACCCCAGGGTCGGCCTGCTTCCTAGCTTTTGAAGCTCAGGCCTGTTATAATTTACAAACCACTTTTTGTCCTCTGACCCTCAACCATGTATCTAGGCCAAATTCCTGTTTTCAAAGTTTTGCCAACATGCATTATCTGTTTTTCTTGCGCACCAATTCAAGCTGCTACAATTGAATCTGCTTTCAGATTTGGCCTGCCTAGTCTTCTCTTGGGAGGCATTAACACATGACTGACACGTTAATAGAGGGCAGAAATTGATTGCAGAGGTTTGGGTGTAGATTATGGATTTTATTTTGGCTTGTTTACAAGTATGCTGTAAGCCGTAAGAGTAAACTGTGAATATTGGTCACTTATTTTCTAAAGCCTTGTGGATTTCTTTAAGCTGTTTAACTGATGGTTTTCCCACTGCAGATATGCTCCTTGTGTCTGAAAATCCCTTTGACTTTCACTTTTGCTCTCATGGAGCAGTTGCTCTGGAGAGCTCAGATGATGCTGAAGAATTGCTGGCCACAGATGTAAGGCTTGTTAGTTATCAAAGTATGGTAATGACAATGAGAAATGAAAGAAAGCATCATAGATCTCCTCTCTTCCAAAGGGTCCTGGAGAAGTGACCTTCCTTCCCCTGGGGGTGGAGAGTGGAAGGAGCCCCTCCAGGACGGTTTCTGTCCAAAGTTTTATACTTATTTATTTTGTCAATATAGTGACTTCGGTACATATGGAAAAGTAGGAAGATGCTTCAACTCAGTGACAACCACTGTTTTTAGTCTTTATTTTTTTCTATTTGGGATTGTTGTTACATAGTTGTTTTGGTGGTTTTTTTAAAATCAAAGATTATAATCATACTGCATATGCTATGTGATATATACTTTGTTTTTTTGATTATTCTTAAGCATTGTTAATGTTATTACAAACTTCATAAACACTTAAATGGATACTTAATATTTTATCAGACATTAATTCTATAGTTTATTTAATCATTCTCCTACTGTTAGACTCAAGGTTGTGTTGGTTTTTTTTTCCTACTGTGGTGAATGTCTTTGTAGGTGAGTGCTTTTTCTATATATCAGAGTCACCGTATGCTAGATTCCTAAAAGTGAAATTACTAGGTAGGATTATGAATTTTTTATAGTCTCTTGATACATATTCTAAATTAACCACTAGAAAGATTGTACCGATTTCTATCCTCCTGGAGTGTGTGAGAACACACTTCTTACCATGTGCAGTGGCTTCCTAGGATGCTGTTCTTTGGTGACATGGTTTTTCTTTTCTTAAATACTTCCTTTTGCCAGTCTTTAAAATGTATCTGGAATAAAGCTGGGAGAACATATGGGATCCCAGAAATAAGCAACCTATCAGATATGGTGCTACTTTCTTCCATAACCATGAAAGGCAAAATAATTTAGCTCATATAGCCAGTTAATGATAGATTATTGGAAAGGAGAGGAGGGGGTCAGGGCAGCCGAGGAAAGTTCTAAAACTACTGGAAATTAAACAAGTCAAGTCATAAGCCTTCCTAATTCTCTTTTAAAGGGATAAGCAGACTGTGGGTGACCAAGCACCAACAGGGCCAATTTGCATTGCTTTGAGCAGAGCTGTCACACTTCACTTCGGGGCTGTGGTGATCTGTCTTCTGGCAGCCCACAGCCCACTGAGTGGAGGGAGGTGTGACACACAGCGGGGGTGAGGTGCTTACTGCAGCCATTAGGCAACTGAAGACTTGGCCATCTGCTTCTCTTTTTACAGCAAGCCATGGACATTTTGGGCTTTCTTCCTGATGAGAAGTACGGATCCTACAAACTCACTGGAGCCATCCTGCACTTCAGAAACATGAAATTTAAACAGAAGCCCAGAGAAGAGCAAGTAGAAGCAGATGGCACAGAAAGTAAGGATTACTTTAAAGACATGACATGTATGCTCTTCAAATCCCTGACCCCAGGTCTGCTCCCCTTTTCCTTGCAGTTAAACTCACCTCTTAGTTTTTGGAAAATGTTGAAATTAATCAGCAATCTCCCTCAATTGCTGTCCCACCAAATTATTCTCTCAGCCAACATTCTGAATTAGAATCCTTGTATCTCAGGATAAGACACATTCCTTAATTAATTATTGATGATGGCAGTAAGTTTGCTAAACTTGGGTGACATAGGATTGACTAAGACGTAGCCTGCCTTCAGCATATAGACTACTGAGAAAAACAGAAAAAGGAACAAATTACCATGAGATGTATGAAGTGACATAATGAAGGTGTGAACAAAGATCTGTAGAATTCCAAAGCAGGAGTTTTCCACTGGGTTGAAAACAAAATGGCTTCTTTTCCCTTTGTTTTTTATTCATATTCTAAAAATCTATAGTCATGCCTGCTTACCAAAAAGATCTATAATGAGTTATCTGTCTAGAATGATCATCAAAATAGAAAATCACAATTATGAAAAGAAGGAATCATAGTCATAATTATTTCATTTAATATTAAAATTCCTGGCAATTGCAACAAAAAGGAAAAAAACATTCATTCAAATCTTTCAACAAATAATTTTAAAAATTTTATATTTTTAATTGTGGTAAAATATACACAACATAAAATTTTACCCATTTTAACTGTACATATTAGTGGCATTAAGTACTTTCACATTGTTGTGCAACCATCACCACTATTCATCTCCAGAACTTTCTCATCATCCCAAACTGAAACTTTATACCCATAAAACAATAATTACCTATTACCCCCTACCCCTAACCCCTGGAAAATTTTAGTCTACTTTCTGTCTCTATGAATTTGACTACTCTGGGTACCTCACATAAGTGCATTCATACAATATATATTGTCCTTTTGTGTCTGGTCTATTTCACTTAGCATGATGTCTTCAAGACATGTTGTGTTAAGTGTCAGAATTTCATTCCTTTCTAAGGCTGCATAACATTCCATCGTATGTATATTCTACTTTTTGTTTATCCATTCATCTCTTTATAAACACTTGAGTTACTTCCACTTTTCACTAGTGTGAATAATGCTGCTGTGAACATTAGTGTTCAAATATCTGTTTGAGTCTGTGCTTTCACTTCTTTTGTGTATATACATAGAAGTGGAATTGCTGGATTAAATGGAAATTCTATGTTTAATTTTTTAAGGAACCACCATATTTTCCATGGTGGCTGCACCATTTTTCCATTCTCACCAGCAATGCACAAGGGTTCAAATTTTTCTACATCCTCACCAACACTTGTTGTTTTCCGTGTTTTTTGTTTTGTTTTGTTTTTTTGTTTTTTTTTTTGATAAGAGCCATCTTAGTGGGTATAAGGTGGTGGTGTCTCATTGTGTTTTTTTTTTTAAATAGATCTTTATAGGAGTATAACTGCTTCACAATACTGTGTTAGTTTCTGTTGTAAACCAAGGTGAATCAGACATATGCATACATATGTCCCCATATCCCCTCCCTCTTGAGCCTCCCTCCCATCATCCCTATCCGACCCCTTTAGGTCATCGCAAAGCACCAAGCTGATCTCCCTGTGCTATGCTGCTGCTTCCCACTAACTAACTATTTTACATTCAGTAGTGTATATATGTCAATGCTACTCTCAGTTCACCCCAGATTCCCCCTCCTACCTGTGTCCTCAAGTCCATTCTCTATGTCTACATCTTTATTCCTGCCCTGCAACTAGGTTCATCAGTACTTTTTTTTTAAGATTCCATATATATGTGTTAGCATACGGTATTTGTTTTTCTCTTTCTGACTTACTTCACTCTGTATGACAGACTCTAGGTCCATCCACCTCACTACAAATAACTCAATTTCGTTTCTTTTTTATGGCTGAGTAATATTCCATTGTATATATGTGCCACATCTTCTTTAGCCATTCATCTGTTGATGGACATTTAGGTTGCTTCCATGTCCTGGCTATTGTAAATAGTGCTGCAGTGAACATTGTGGTACATGACTCTTTTTGAATTATGGTTTTCTCAGGTATATGTCCAGTAGTGGTATTGCTTGGTCATATGGTAGTTATTTTTAGTTTCTTAAAGAACCTCCACACTGTTCTCCATAGTGGCTGTATCAATTTACATTCCCACCAACAGTGCAGGAGGGTTCCCTTTTCATCATACCCTTTCCAGCATTTATTGTTTCTAGATTTTTTGATAATGGCTGTTCTGACTGGTATGAGGTGATATCTCATTGTTTTGATTTTTGATTTGCATTTCTCTAATAATTAGTGATGTTGAGCATCTTTTCATGTGTCTCTTGGCTATTTGTATGTCTTCCTTAGTGAAATGTCTATTTAGGTCTTCCACCCATTTTTTAATTGGATTATTTGGGGGTTTTTTGATATTGAGCTCCATGAGCTGTTTGTATATTTTTGAGATTAATCCTTTGCCTGTTGCTTCATTTGCAAATATTTTCTCCTGTTCTGAGGGTTGTCTTTTTGTCTTGTTTATGGTTTCCTTTGATGTGCAAAAGCTTTTAAGTTTAATTAACTCCCATTTGTTTATTTTTGCTTTTATTTCCGTTACTCTAGGAGATGGGTCAAAAACGATCTTGCTGTAGTTTATATCAAAGAGTGTTTTCCCTATATTTTCCTTTAAGAGTTTTATAGTGCCTGGTCTTACATCTGGGTCTTTAATTCATTTGGAGTTTATTTTTGCGTATGGTGTTATGTAGTGTTCTAATTTCATTCTTTTACATGTAGCTGTCCAGTTTTCCCAGCACCACTCACTGAAGAGACTGTCTTTTCTCCATTGTATGTTCTTGCCTCCTTTGTTGTAAATTAGGTGATCATATGTGTTTGGGTTTATCTCTGGACTTTCTATCCTGTACCATTGATCTATATTTCTGTTTTTGTGCCAGTGCCATACTGTCTTGATTACTGTAGCTTTGTGGTATAGTCTGAAGTCAGGGAGCCCGATTCTTCCAACTACGTTTTTCTTCCTCAAGATTGCTTTGGCTATTCGGGGCCTTTTGTGTTTCCATACAAATTGTAAAATTTTTTGTTCTAATTCTGTGAAGAATGCCATTGGTAGTTTGATAAGGATTGCATTGAATCTGTAGATTGCTTTGGGTAGTATAGTCATTTTCACAATGTTGATTCTTCCAATCCAAGAACATGGCATATTTCTCCATCTGTTTATGTCATCTTTGATTTCTTTTATCAGCGTTTTATAGTTTTCTGAGTACTAGTCTTTTGCTTCCTTAGGCAGGTTTATTCCTAGGTGTTTTATTCTTTTTACTGTGATGGTAAATGGGATTATTTCCTTAATTTCTCTTCCTGATTTTTCATTGTTGGTGTATAGGAATGCCAGAGATTTCTGTGCATTAATTTGTATCCTGCAACCTTACCAAATTCACTGATTAGTTCTAGTAGTTTTCTGGTGGCATCTTCAGGATTTTCTATGTATAGTATTATGTCATCTGCAAAAAGTGACAGTTTTACTTCTTTTCCAATTTGTATTCTTTTTATTTCTTTTTCTTCTCTGAATGTCGTGGCTAGGACTTCTAAAACTATGTTGAATAAGAGTGGCGAGAGTGGACATCCTTGTCTTGTTCCTGATCTTAGTGGAAATGGTTTCAGTTTTTCACCATTGAGTATGATGCTTGCTGTGGGTTTGATGTATATGGCCTTTATTATGTTGAGGTAGGTTCCCTCTATGCCCACTTTCTGGAGAGTTTTTATCATAAATGGGTGTTGAATTTTGTCAAAAGCTTTTTCTCCATCTGTTGAGATGAGCATATGGTTTTTATTCCTTAATTTGTTAATGTGGTGTATCACATTGATTGATTTGCGTATATTGAAGAATCCTTGTATCCCTGGGATAAATCCCACTTGATCATGGTGTATGATGCTTTTAATGTGTTGTTGGATTCTGTTTGCTAGTACTCTGTTCAGGATTTTTGCATCTATGTTCATCAGTGATATTGGTCTATAATTTTCTTATTTTGTGATATCTTTTTCTGGTTTTGGTATCAGGGTGATGGTGGCTTCATAGAATGAATTTGGGAGTGTTTCTCCTTCTACAACTTTTTGGAAGAGTTTGAGAAGGATGGGTGTTAGCTCTTCTCTAAATGTTTGATAGAATTCGCCTGTGAAGTGAATTCTATCTATCTGGTCCTGGACTTTTGTTTGTTGAAAGAGTTTTAATTATGGTTTCAATTTCATTACTTGTGATATGTCTGTTTATATTTTCTAATTCTTCCTGGTTCAGTCTTGGAAAATTGTACGTTTCGAAGAATTTGTCCATTTCTTCATGGTTGTCCATTTTATTGGCATATAGTTGTTTGTAGTAGTCTCTTATAATCCTTTATATTTCTGCAGTGTCAGCTGTGATTTCTCCCTTTTCATTTCTAATTTTATTGATTTGCATCCTCTCCCTTTTTTTCTTGATGAGTCTGACTAAGGGTTTATCAATTTTGTTTGTCTTCTCAAAGGACCAGATTTTAGTTTTATTGATATTTGCTATTGTTTTCTTGGTTTCTATTTCATTTATTTCTGCTCTGATCTTTATGATTTCTTTCCTTCTACTGATTTTGGGTTTTCTTTGTTCTTCTTTCTCTCATTGTTTTAAGTGTACGGTTAGATTGTTTATTTGAGATTTTTCTTGTTTCTTGAGGTGAGATTGAATTGCTATAAACTTCCCTCTTAGAACTGCTTTAGCTGCGCCCCATAGGTTTTGGATCATCTTTTCACTGTCATTTGTTTCTTTGTATTTTTTTTTTCTTCTTTGATTTCTTCAGTGATCTCTTGGTTATTTAGTAGTGCACTGTTTAGCCTCCATGTATTTGTGTTTTTTACAGTTTTTTTCCTGTAATTGATTTCCAATCTTATAGCCTTGTTGTCAGAAAAGATGCTTCATATGATTTCAATTTTATTAAATATTCTGAGGCTTGATTTGTGACCCAT